AAAGTCGCCGGCGCGGTGCTTCTGCACATCACTCACACATTCAAATTCTTGTATACCATGTTTTACATATGTGTATGATATGATTTTAATTTGAGGTTAACTTTAAAGTGCAATCGGTACAATCGAGACACAATTGACAATGTGTGTCATAACGGATATATAGAAATAATGTGAGTGATTATTAAATTGTTATTCAAATAGTAAAAAATTCCGAAAACGTGCTGTGTGAAAAGTTGTAACAAGAAGAAAGATAAACCTACACAACACTATGACTATTACTTTTTGTTAACTTTTAATACACTTCATGCTACAGTTTACACATTTTTTTGTTTTTAAAACGTTTTTTTAATAACTAAAAGATGTTTGAAAATATAAACACTTATATTTCATATTGTATTTGTATAGAATATATTTTCCCGTGTTTACGTGTGTTAGATTGCGCAGAAGTCCGTCTGGTCTACTGCGGTGAAAACTTTTTTTGAAAGTAAACGCCTGACCATACATCAGCTGAGCGACTCAGCATTGCCATACCCCCACTACCGAAGTTTTACCTCCTGTCTCTAGTCTTCTTGGTCCTAGGGGAGCCGTGTTTATAAAAATTAGTTCATATTATGTTAAAATATATATAAAATATAAAAATATACTATATTGTCAGTGATACTTCGTTTTTAGTTTTATGGAAGAATTATAATTATCTGTGGACGTCGACATGAAAAGGGCCCATTGTGGCACTATTGAAGTTATCTATATGGGCGATTTTCTGGAAAAATTTGGAAAATTTTGAGTGGTCTTAGAACTTTTTGGTTAAAAATTCGCTGAGTTACTGAATTTTAAAGTTTAGAACGCCAAAAACCTCATTTCGAGAAAAACGGAATTATTGAAGATTGCAATACTAACTAATTGTTGTATCTCTAGTTCTCTTATTGTAAGTTATTCAGATAAAAAACCAATAGGTTTTAAATTTTAAAAACCATCCCCCTCTCTTAATTTTGAAAATACGAAAAATCGATAATATGGGCCTTTTTCTAAATAGGACAGTTTTTCTATTAAAAAACAATTTTTTTACAAGATTAATGATTAGGTACAATTTTATTGTGTTATTTGAAGAAAAAGAATAGATATTAAACTTATTCAAAATTTTTTGACAGTCTCTATTATGAAAAAATTGACGCAATATCCAAATTTTCTTTTTGACAATCACAAAAAAAAGACTCTAATATCAATATCTCTGGTTCTTCTGGGAAGTTATTCAGATAAGAATTGTTTATAGTCCAGGACACCTTAAAGATGAAAAATCAAGAGGTTTTAAATTTTTCCTCACCTCCATTTTTGAAATACTGTTTAATTTTGCAAATGACCGACAAAATGGGCCAATTTCCTTTTTTCTAAAGAACCACTGAAATCAAACAGTTAAATAATCTATAAATTAATGAAAACCGCATGATTCGAGTTGTCAAAACATGTAGATTGATAATAAAAAATTTTAAATAATTAAGATTTTGCTCCAAAATTACTAAATTGCGATTATCTCGAAAACTAGAACCGACAATATGGGCCCTTTTCATGTGGACGTCCACATAATTATATACATATTATACTTGCGTAAAATCTATTCCTGGTATTTTTTCTAAATTTATGTTTTGGGTAGAAATATATTCTTGTTCTTTTTATTTTAGCTGAATCTTGAGTTGTATGTGGGACATTCCAGGCCAAATCGGAAATTATTTTGCTTTTGCATCTCAAATTTTTTTTAAACTTTTTTTTCTTTTAGTAATCTTTGAAATGAGCTACCTTGATTTTTTTCATAAAGCGGTTCAAGAGATACAGATTTTTGAGAAATGACGTTTTTTACTTAAATTTTTTTTAAATGCTTATAACTCGGTCAAAATTGATTAAATTAGATGTTTTTATAATGAAAAGTTTTGTTTTCACGCGTAATTTGCAATAAAAATATTTGTAAATAATTTACGATAAGATTTTAAAATTTTTAAAATAAAATTTCATTTTCAACAATGTGTGTATCGGTTAATTTTTTTCAAAATTTTTTGTAAGAACTAACACTAAATTAACAATTTTTAAGTCTTGTCCGATCGTATGCAAACACGATTTTACACAGAAAAGAATTTATGTTTGGAGAGACTTAGTCTGAAAACGCATAATTTGCTGTAAAAGATTTTTGTTCCAATTTAATCAATTTTTGACCGAGTTATAAGCATTTAAAAAAAATTTACGTAAAAAACGTCATTTCTCAAAAATCTGTATCTCTTAAACCGCTTTATGAAAAAATTTGAAAAAAATCAAGGTAGCTCATTTCAAAGAGTACTAAAAGAAAAAAAAGTTTAAAAAAAATTTGAGATGCAAAAGCAAAATAATTTCCTATTTGGCCTGGAATGTCTCACATACAACTCAAGCCATGTATACTTTATACATGGCTGACATAAAATTTAAAAAAGCATTAAATAGTAAATTTTGAAAAAAATTCATAATTTTTTTTTTTACAAAAAAGTGTCCAAGGGAAAATTTGTTTGTTTTTGTACAAAATTTAAGAAAAAAATTAGAAAAAAATATTTTTTTGAAAATTGTAAAAAATACAAAATTTTGAAAATTTCATCGGGGGTGAATTTTGTTTCATCAGGGGGTCATGAAAAATGAAGATTTATAAAAATTAGAAATTTCTCAACATCGCACAAATCCAAGACTTTGTCATTTTTTATGAGAATGTAAAAATACAATAAATGTAATTTTACGAAATTTTTCATTAATTACAAATTAATAAATTGTACCTTAAAAGAAAATATTTAATTTTCAATCATTTCAAAAAATTATTTTAATAAATATATCAAAATTGAAAAAATAAAAAATTTATCAAAACCTTTTTTTTAAATTTGACATGTTTAGGGAAGACTGGGGCGAAAAGTTAAACTACCAAAACCGTTAAAATTCATTATCTTTCGAACGAAAATAGTTAGAGCATTGCAATTTTAATTATAGAAGGGTGTTATCACCCTAAATAAATGTCCGGAGTTGTGTGCAATTCTGTTTATTTTTGTGGTGTCAATATTAAAAGTTTTTTTTCAACCTACTTTTGAAAATTTTTTCGAAAAAGAAAATATCAACTTTTAAGTATATTTTTTGCATTTTTTCTCACCGCGATTTTTTTACTTCATTATTTGGGTCCCCTGAAGAGATACCTACATGTATTTTCTAAATATCTTTAGTCAGATTTTTTATATTTGTTGTTAAAGCCAAAACGCACCCTGGGGCGAAAAGTTAAATAATGGGTGGGGCGAAAAGTTAAATGTATTTTTACATGTTGTTAAAATTTTTTTTTTTATTTTTCGTTTTTTTGGGTTTATTTGTTTAAACATTATTTATTTGACATTTGGCAAGTACTCTGTCAAAAAATAAGCCGGTTCACGTGAAATAAACCAAAAAAAATTTTTTTTTTTGAAATTTCAATTTTTTAACTTTACAACTATTTTTAAAGCTTTTGTCAAATAAACAAAGATCTTTTATTTACTAAATTACTTGTTTACGTATACTTTAACATATCTACTATTTATCACCTATCAGAAAATAGTTTTAGTAGGCTAAAAATAGAATTTAACTTTTCGCCCCAGCCATTTAACTTTTCGCCCCAGCATGGGGCGAAAAGTTAAAAAAAACAAAATTTTCAAAAAAGGACAAAACATGTATTTTTTGCGAAAATATCAGGAACTTTTTTATTGAAAGTTGTAGAGGACAAGTTGCCCTACAATATTGATATACAAATATTTGCATCTAAGCGGCTTATATTGCCAAAAAAAAATCATTTATGCAAAATTTAACTTTTCGCCCCAGTCTCCCCTATATTATGTACATTTCTCATAAATAAGAATCCCTTTATTTATGTTTCTTATATTTAACTTTAATTATTACAAAATATCGTTTAAATTACTTGACAAATTAAATTACTAATTCCTAGTTTTTTGATGCTGTTAGTCTTTTACGTAGGCAACCTTCACAAAATTTCTGGACACTTTCTTCCACAAGTCACATTCAGCTCTCAATTTTTATGGTGGAAATAAGATTGTGGCTTATAAAAACATCATATCGAAACAAAATAAATTTTAAATAGGTACATAATTCTTTATTTATTTTCGCTTTACGGTAAAGAGCTCTTTTTTTAAGAAAGTGTTTAAAATTATTTTTTAAAAATTGACAAAATAAAAAGTTTCATAAAAATCAGTCGAAAGTTTTGGATAATTTAAAAAGAAAGAATAAAAGCAGATACTTATAGAGAAAAGGGCTCTTTATTAAAATTCTATATATATGAAATAAGGATTTAAGTAAAAATCTGTTTGTAATAATATACGATGTTTCTACGAGCGTCAATATTATTTTCACTATACAAATAATTGACAGCTTTGATGTCGGAAATAAACTTATATGACCTGGTCGCCTATAGAAAGGGATTTTAAAATAGTAGAATAAGTAATTATTGTTTTATAATAGAAAATTTATTAGCTCCAAATTTCTTTTAATATCTCATATAATTGAGGATTTAAAAAACATAATTAAATTAATTATTTTGATACAAAGGAATAAAATAAATAAATTTTTATAGACAAGAAAAAATGATTAAAGATAATTTAACAAATATATAAGGTAAAAATTAATACTTTTTTATGATTTTGTAATTAATAATTAATTTTTGATTTTATATAATTTTCCAATTACTAATTAACTAATTTTTCAAAATAATACAAAAATATTCAATAAATTTTAGAAATAATTTAATTTTTTCAAAATTCTGTATATTTGTCATTTTAAATATTTTTATTAATTATACAATTTAATAAATTTTACCTCTAGAGGTACTAATTAGCAATTTTAATTTTTAATCATTTTAAAAGATTATTTTAATGAATAACAAAATTTAAAAAAAAATTTTTCATATTTTTCGTTTTAATTTAACATATTTTATATTATGTATATTTTTATAAACAAAAATCCCTTTATTTATATTCATTCTATTAGTTTTTATTACTGCAAAATTTTACTTTTATAATTTTTAACAAAATAAAACTTACTGCCCTGTTTTATGATACTGTTATGCCTTTACGTAGGCAACCCCGCCTTACTCCAACTTTCGGTGCGGACATTTTTTTCCAAATCAAGTCATCTACATCTGTAAATTGTAATCGTAGAAATCGTTTTGTGGCTCGTAGAAACATCGGGTTGAGACCAAATAAATTTTTACAAATTCTTTATTTAATTTTATTTTAGGGTAAAGAGCTCTTTTTTTGAGAAAGTGTCAAATTATTTTATAAAAAATTGTCAAAGTAAAAAGTTTTGTATGAAGCAGTTGAAAGTGTTGGATAATTTAAATGGAAAGAGAAAAAGCAGAAACTTATAAAAAAGAGGGCTTTTTATTGTAATTATATATGAAATAACGATTTAAGAAAAAATTTGTTTTTAATAATACGATTTTTCAACGAGCGTCAATATTGTTTTCGCTATACAAATTGACAGTTTCAACATAAAAAATAAACTTATAAATTGGTTGCCTATTGAAAGGGACTTCAAAATAGTAGAATAAGTAATTATTGTTTTAGAATAGAAAATTTATTAGCGATAAATTTCTTTTATTATCTTATATAATTGAGGAATAAAAAAACATAATTACATTAATTATTTTTATACAAAGGATTAAAATAAATAAATTTTAATAGACTAGAAAACATGATTACTAATAATTTAACCAATATATAAGGAAAAAAATAATACATATTTTTACGGTTTTTTAATTAATAAATAATTTTTAATTTTATATAATTTTCCAATTACTAATTAATTAATTTTTACATATAATAATACAAAAAATTCAATTTTTATAAATAATTTAATTTTTCAAAATTCTGTATATTTGTCATTTTTATTATTTTTATTAATTACAATTCAATAAATTGTACCTCTAGAGGTACTAATTAGAAATTTTTATTTTTAATCTCTTTAAAAAATTATTTTAATGAATAACAGAATTTAAAAAAATGCTTTTCATATTTTTCGTTTTAATTCAACATATTTTATATTATGTATATTATTATAAACAGAACCCCATTTATTTATATTAATTATATTAGTTTTTATTACTGCAAAATGTTATTTTTATAATTTTCAACAAAATAAAACTTACTGCCCTGTATTATGATAATGTTATGCCTTTACGTAGGCAACCCCGCCTTACTCCACCTTCTGTTGTGCGGCCATGTTTCCCCATATCAAGCCAACTACATCTGTAAATTGTAATCGTAGAAATCGTTTTGTGGCTTGTAGAAACATCGTGTCGAGACCAAATAAATTTTTACTAATTCTTTATTTAATTTTATTTTAGGGTAAAGAGCCCTTTTTTTGATTAAGTTCTTTGTTTTTTTTTAAAAAGTGATCAAAGTGGAAAATTACACGAAACATACTGGACAGTGGGGGAGAGTGGGTTGGCAACACTTGACAGTTCCCGACCTCCAACGCCGTTAAAAGTACATATATCTTGAAGGTTTATTTGAAAATAAATTTTATTAAACCTGGCACAGTTAAATCATTCAACTTTGAACTTTTCATAATTCGATACCTCCCACGGTGGGCTTGAACCAACTTTAAATAAAAAGTCTTCCGAAATGCGATTTTTTTGTGGATTTCAACACTGGAGACCTCCCTAAGTATTTTCCAATAAAAATTAAAATAATCCATCGGGCCGATTTTGAAAAAAGAAATTTTTAGTATTTCTATCGTGAACTTTGTATACAAGCACTTTAAAAAAAGGTACAAAATCAAATTTAATTTCAATTTCATGAGTGTAAAATAGTATTTTGAATCGCATAATCTGAATTTGATGTTGGATTTAAGAATTTTAAAATGGCGAATCCAATATGGCGACCAAAAAGTTTTAAAATTGTTTAGATCTACTTGAACCTCAATACTTGAGGGGTTTCGGGGTTGATAAATCTGAATTCAATGTTAGGTTTTGAAAATTAGAAATGGCGGATCCAATATGGCGACCAAGAAGTTTAAAAATTGTTTAGATTTGCTTGATACTCATTACTCAGAGCTTTTGGTATCGCTGAATTTGAATCCGAATTTCCGTATTTGAATGAATTACTTGTATTAAAAAAGGAAATAGACAAATAAGATTATATAAATAATGACATTACTTACAATTAAAATTAACACTTATTTACACATTATAGCACTGTAATAATTAATCAATTAAAACTGCTTTGATTAATCTTTGGACGGGAAAGCGAGGTTCATTAGACCCCGCAAGTATCTATTTTTCAAATTTCTCCAAATCTGTATGAAAAAATGAATTCATCCTAGAAATTCTCTTAAATAGACTAAAAGTACCACCGAATAATCTGAATATTTTTACAGTTTTCATATTCCAACTGTAAATAATGTCACGTGTGTATTAAAACATTTTACCAGCACAAAATGGCAATCGGGGTCCAGAGGACCCCGCAATGTCATAATGATAAAAATTGTAGGGGAGAGTCTCCAGTTGTGAGACGGGTTTTATTTTTGACCCGTAAACTGTAAACGGGTAAACGAAATTGTAAATAAAATACACCGTTTGAAATATAACAGAATTACGCAACTTTTATTAAAAGAAAGTGTTGTGTTTCGATAAACTCGAAAAATTTTACGATACATTTTCCGAGCACATCGCTTTTGTCAAAAAAAAATGTCTCCAGTTGTGAGACACTCATTAAAAAATGCTAAAATTTAATAAGTTTGACATAAAACGTTATGTTTAGTAGAAATAATTAAATATATTAATAATATATATTATAGTACATACTAAATAATAATATTTATTCGCCAAAATATGACTATCAAATAAACACAATTTAATAGCTTCAACAAGAGCATTAAAATTGATTTCTTCTGAATCAATTTACTTTTTCCACTTGACATGCCCAAAAATACTAGAAGACAAAATAAAACAACATTTAAATAGTATGCCTGCAAAGTCGTATTTTTTATGCTGCCCAGATGGGTGTTGACACCGTCTCACAACTGGTGATATGCTGTGTCTCACACCCAGAAATTGGCGCTATTTTGAAAAAGGAAAATTAAATTTTTTTCAACCGTAGATTGGAACAATGCAATATTGCATCACAAAATATAAGGAAAACACTAAAAGAAAATGCATTACATTTACCTTTTCCAATTAATTAACTTGGAAAAAAAGTACTTTGCATTTATTGAAAAAACGCTTTTTAGTCGATTATCACACACAGTGTTGGTATTTAACAAAAACAGTTTATATATCCGCTTCGGCGTATACGAAAAAGTTGGCTCATATAAAAAGAAATGTTTTTATATAAATTAATCGGCTTTTTAATATTGCATGTTAAAAAAAATTGACTGTCTCACAACTGGAGGTGTCTCACAACTGGAGACTCTCCCCTACTAATTGTCTATATACAAATAACAAAATAATGTTTTTCTTTCAAGAAATTTGCGCCTACACAAATTAATCCTGCCTTGCACTCAGAACGGTGTGTGTATTTTCCAGGATACTTCGCAAATCTAACAGTTCGTTAAATTTAAAATCTTAATCATCATTTTTATATTTTAAATTTAATGCATTAAAATTCATAATCCTTTCTTAAAAAAGACATGGAGTGGAAAGGTCGAATGTATCGAAAAGTATCGAAGTAAAGAATGGGCAATGAGAATGTAAAATCTTAATAGAAGGGTGTTTTTAAAATTTTTTGTACATGTGAAGGTGGCGCTGCAGTCGTATGTTATTTAAAAAGAGCGCGAATATATAAATTTTATTTTTGTTAAGAGAAAGTACACATAACAAATCTTATTTTGCATTGTCAAAAAAAACGTCAATATTTCAAATATAAATAAGCAAATTATTAACTGAAAAAATTTGAATATTATTATTAATGAAATAATAGACTTGGACAATGGACATATAAAAACCAGCACCGTAGACGGCCGCTTGCGGCCGTCGGAGGAGCTAGTATAATAAAAAGAAAACAAAATATATACAAAGATCAAGGTTTTAGTAAGCGTTTTTAAAGCGGGCTCCAATGGACCTCGCTCACCCGCTTACGTAATTTTTTTAGCTTGCCCGCCCAAGGGTTAAAAAATATTTCGACAATGGAGACCATTAAATCCACATACCATTTTAAAAATTTTGTTTACCATATTGGATCCACCATTTCTAAATTCCAAAAATTGACATTGCATTCAGATTAAGCGACCCCAAAAACCCCCCAGAATTAAGTTTCAAGTATATCTAAACAATTTTTAAACTTTTTGGTCGCCATATTTGATCCGCCATTTCTAATTTTCATAACCTAACATTGAATTCAGGTTTAATGACCCCGAAAACCCTCAAGTATTGAGGTTCAAGTAGATCTAAACAATTTTTAAACTTTTTGGTCGCAATATTGGATTCGACATTTTGAAATTCTTAAATCCAACATCAAATTCAGATTATGCCATCCAAAATACTATTTTACACTCATGAAATTGAAATTAAATTTGATTTTGTACCTTTTTTTAAGTGCTTGTATACAAAGTTCAGGATGGAAATACTAAATAGTATATTACATTATAAGGGCAGAAAGTTCGAAATTCCTGCACTGCGCGAAATGATGCCCGAGGCGAAGCCGAGGGCACCATCGCGTAGTTTAGGGCTTTCGAATTTCTGCCCGTGTAATGTATACTATTTTTCTTTATATACGGTCGAAAGTACGCTCGCTAATTTATTTTTTAAGAAAATTGCAATCGTGTTTCATTTGACAGCCGGTCATCTTTATTTACTGTTGCTCCTCCCTTCAACGCCTCTAGCGGACACTTGTAAAGCTCTGGTTATTTCTCTGGGTGTTTTCGACGTTGACACTCTGAGCGCTCTGAAAGTACGAAACGTGGTTGGTTGGGCTAGGGGAATTCTGAATGTTGATTGGCTGAACTTCAAAATTCATAGTTTTATGCTCTGGTTTCCACACTCTGTATCGCTCGGACCTTTGATACCGAGCGATACAGAGTGTGGAAACCAGAGCATAAAACTATGAATTTTGAAGTTCAGCCAATCAACATTCAGAATTCCCCTAGCCCAACCAACCACGTTTCGTACTTTCAGAGCGCTCAGAGTGTCAACGTCGAAAACACCCTCTGTCTCTCTCTTGCAAACATCATTCGCCTGCCCCGACATTTGATGCACGAGCGAAGCGAGTGCTTCTGGTCGGGGGCAGGCACGAAAAAAATGTGAAAAAGATAAATTAATATTATATTTTCAAAAGAATTTTTCTAGTGGTACAAAATTAATTTTATGTTTCTAAAATTCTAAACGTTCTAATGAACACAATTTCATTATTTCTTCAAATTATTAAAATTTTCTTATAACATTTTGGAACGTATTAAAAAAGAAATTAAAAATTTTTTAATTATTTTATTTTTGTTTTTAATGTTTATTTAAAAAAGTTTTGAAAATTATTATATCAGCATAAGATTTCGTTTATTTCAATATTCAGAGCTTGTGGATAATAAATTTATAAAGTATAAAAAGATTTCTTGATAATTTTTTTTCTCATTTTATATTGCGATAACAATTACTCGTTAAATTGTCATTGAACTCGAAATTTTCTTATTTACCGACAGTGGTGTTTTTACCGACAGAGAATTCTTTTACTCCCGCTGTAATAAAGGTTAGGTATGAAAATCAACCAAAGCACAAATGTTTGACTTTCTGCTGCGAAATCGCAGAGGGAAGTACGTACTTTTGACCGAGGTATGAAGAAAATATACTTTTTTCAAAAACGGCCCAATGGATTATTTTAATTTTTGTTGCAAAATACTCAGGGAGGTCTCCAGTATTGGAATCCACAAAAATATCCCATTTCGCAAGACTTTTTATTTAAAGTTGGTTCAAGTCCACCGTGCTCCCTTCAAAAAACTTTTCAAGTTTGTCATCTAAAAAAACCACTGGTCACATACTTTGATACACAGTATCAAATTTTTTGTCCACAGAGCAATTAATTTAATTATTTTTTTCCATATTTAAATAAGATCTTTTTCTTTAGAATTTAGTTGCATATTTTGTGAAGTAAAAAAAATAACCAATAAACTCTCCTAAGTGAATTACCAAAAGAGAAACTAATTTAAAAAATTGTTTTTGTTTTTTATTGTTAAAAGCATTAAAGTTGCACAGGGAATCACAAAATCGTCATGGTCTAATCATCATATTTTTGAAATAAAAAATAAATAATTATTTATATTTTG